GGCCCCCCTATCTGCCTTCACGGTTTTGTTTCTGGGAGCTCACGAGCAACTTCCCAGTGGATCACCCATCCTGGGATTGCTCTAGTCTCCAACTCGCTTAACTTCGGAGTTCCCTCGACTCCAAAACCAGTAAGCTCCCAAAAGGCCTCGTGCTTGATGGATGCGGGTGTGCACATATAAGGCACATCACCCCCTCTCCGTTGGTCGATGTGGGATCTTACAATCCACCCCCTCAAGGACCTGACGTCCTCGTTGACACACTCGCACCACACGGCAAAGTGGCTCTGATACAAAATTGTCACATCCCGGGATCGGCTCCGCCGTAGCACGATATTGTCCGCTTTGGGCCCCCCTCTCTGCCCTCACGGTTTTGTTTCTGGGAGTTCACGAGCAACTTCCCAGTGGGTCACCCATCCTAGGATTGCTCTAGCCTCCAACTTGCTTAACTTCGGAATTCCCTCGACTCCGAAGCCAGTGAGCTCTCAAAAGGCCTCATGCTAGATGGATGCGGGTGTGCACATATAAGGCACATCACCCCCTCTCCGTTAGTCGATGTGGGATCTTACAATAAATTGTCACATCTCAGGACCGGCTCCGCCGTAGCACAATATTGTCCGCTTTGGGCCTCCCTCTCTGCCCTCACGGTTTTGTTTCTGGGAGTTCACGAGCAACTTCCCAGTGGGTCACCCATCCTAGGATTGCTCTAGCCTCCAACTTGCTTAACTTCGGAATTCCCTCGACTCCGAAGCCAGTGAGCTCTCAAAAGGCCTCATGCTAGATGGATGCGGGTGTGCACATATAAGGCACATCACCCCATCTCCGTTGGTCGATGTGGGATCTTACAGTATTTCCAAGATCTAGGTAGTTTTTGCATGTCTTCTTTTATTATTTTTATTTTCTATATACCAAATACCAATGTATATGAAATGAATGTTGCTAATATTGGCAAACATGCACAGATCTGCAGTTTCTCATTATTTTGTCTGTGAAGTAGAAGAATTATTGTTTGTGTTGTCGTTTCTCATTATTTTGTCTGTGTTCCAGAATAAGAGACTGTAATGTAGTTTATTAATGGATATGAGCTGTTTACAATTGATATATTTTTTTTTCATTAATTTAATATGCTAACAAAACAAATTATTCAAGTTACATGGGCCAAGTACGGGCCCGATCCAAGCACGGCCTGCCACGAAATGGACTTGAACTTTGAGCCAAGTTAGGTATAATATTTTAATAAATGAGTTGGGCCAGCACATCCCACTTAATTACATGGGCCAACACAATACAGCCTAAAAAACATAATGAGCCAGCCCGATTCGACTCGTTTTACACCTCTAGTCCGTACCAACTATATGCACCGGTAATTAGTTAATTGTATAGCAATCCCTACAGCTAACTAAAGGAAATTAATTCCTTAATTAATGACAGAAAATTCCTTAATCAAAGCGAATTATTCCTAATTACAAACACACCACCCTTTGGAAATTCGATTAGATGAGCACATCATTCTCAGTCCCTCATTTGGAAATCGACCTCATCATCAACATTAGTAAATTAATAGTAACTCAAATTAATAATCAATCAAGAAAATTGAGATCATCAAAATCAGCTAGACATCGAAATTTATGGACTATCCTTAGTGTAAATTTGTGGGCTCAATCTCATGCAATATGTCCAAACCTATAAATAGGGGCAATGTGTGCAGAACCAAATCAACCACACACAGTTTCAAGTAGATTTGGGTGAGAAAGAGAGAGTCTGTGAGATTAATTTGAGCTAGTAGCTATGGACATGAAGGGAAGTAATTTAGCAGTTGTGGTTACGATGTTCATGATGGTTTGGGTTGCTATGGGCCAATCGGTTGACCCTAACTTTGTTGATTATTATTCGCTTGCCGATGATGTCACACCTTTTGAAAACTCTCCTCATGTCGATAAAATTCCACCTCCTCATCAAAACCCTAGACCTATAATCCCACCCTTTGAAACCGTATCACCACCTATGATCAGAATCCCTGTTGTCCAAAAATCACCTCCTCCCACTTCTCATCATGTTCCTCCAAAACACAACCCATGTCTGAGAAAATGCCACAGAAAATGCAACGATAATGACAAGTTGATAGTTAGAAAAGCTTGTTTTGAGGCCTGCCCTGCTGAATGCAAGATTGAAGCAACAATGTCTCTCAAAAAGTGTATAATTGCCTGCGTAAAAGCCATACGCACATATCCTACCCCTGCTATTGGTATGTATATATCTTTAGTCTTTTTTCTTGTTGGGTTTTATCTTTTTTATGGTTTTGGATTGTTTATCTAATTGCAGTGTTTTATTTTTCCATTTTTTTTGTGACAGTTGCTGAAAATAACTTCAAGGGCCAATTGGATTTCTGCTATAAGAGGTGCAGCTCAAGAATGAAGATCAATAATTAGATATTTTTCTAATTTTCATCTCCATAAGAGAAAATATTATTAATGGATTGAATAATTGTATTAGATATTACTACTCATGGAACGGTATTGAATTGAATAAGAATTCTCTTTTTGAGACATTTCAGCACTTCCTTTTTTGTTTACTTATCCTTGTGAATGCACTAGTGTGGCAAAGACTTCCTAATCCATCATCTCCTTTTGTCCAACTTTTCCCACATTTCCCACAATATATTCTTGAAAAAGGTTACAAGAAATAGACCATATTACCAAATAAAGTAGCCCTTAATTTATTTAACTAATCTTTTCAAATTGAAAAAAGTGGTAAGATGCAAGATCTACTGGTTCTAGGCAGCAAGACTTTGCTCAACTTCGTAAGAATCATGGCTTGAAACCTATAAAATTGAAAGAAAAAAAAAACGTGCTTATTCGTTGAAACTTAACTTATCACATGCTTAGATTGTGTAAAGGTTACAACAACGTCATCATTTTTTATTACAACAACAAAATGAATGATAGTCTGTTGAGGGACGAAGAGTGGAATGTTTGCTTTACTTCGTTGGACTTTTTCAAAGTGCATGTTTTATGACGCTACATATATTTCTTTTGGTGTTTATTGCCCAACATCTCCTATTGCACTTAATGATTTGTTTTATATTAGTGCTACCTTTGCTAAATATTGATCTCATCCAAATTTTAATTTTAAAAAGATTTGTGAGGAAATGGAAGCTAAATATAAAAAGTATTGGACATAGGTTCCTTACACTTTATGTTTTGGTGCAATATTTGATCCTAGAATTAAAGTAAGTGATTCGGAGGTAATATTGACTGAAATATCTAGGAATTTATCCATCTGTTTACCACTTACAATATCTAATATTCAGAAGACTTTCAATGATACTTATGTATTGTATGAGAAGAAATATAATGTTGGTACAAAAGATACACAAACAGCTCCACGTGCTCCTTTATTTGACTCTTCTTCATCTAGTAGTGCATATGTTTTTAGTATGGTTGCTACCAAAGGAAAACAAAAGAGTGGAAAATGTTCTCGTACTGAAGTTTTTAAATACTTAGGTACCAAATTTGCTGAATTTATGACTGAGGAAAAAACAAAAAATTTCAATCTTTTGGATTGGTGGAAAGCAAATGAAAAGAACTTTCATGTGCTTTCTATTATGACACGTGCTGCACTAACACCTTCGGTGTCCACAGTAGCTTCTGAGTCTGCTTTTAGTGCAGGTGGTCATGTGTTAGGTGAAAAGAGGACGAGGCTAACTCCTCAAGGATTGGTGGTCCTTATGTGTGTTAAAGATTGGGAATATGCAGATTTTCAAGCTCAAAATTTTGTAGATGAAGATCTCCCTTATTTTGAAGATGATATCACAAGTTCCCTATCTAATGAAAATATCTAGTAGATTCCGTGCATACTTCTAATTGTGGTTATTGTTGGGTTTGAGTAATGCAAGTGATTGATAGTTGAGTAGGTGCCAACTTAGTTCGGATTTACTCAATCTATAGTGGTGCAATATCTTAACCTTTTTGCTTTCATACCTATAAATTGTAATTTTTGAATTTATTAATGAAGTGGACTGGTTTCAGTTTTCCTTAGTATTTCTAATGGTTTCTGTCTACGCTTTAGCTGGTTCTTGTTTTCATGTTCAACATTTTCTGTGTTGTGTGTATTTCCAAGATCTAGGTAGTTCTTGCATGTCTTCTTTTATTATTTTTATTTTCTATATACCAAATACCAATGTATATGAAATGAATGTTGCTAATATTGGTAAACATGCACAGATCTGCAGTTTCTCATTATTTTGTCTGTGTAGTAGAAGAATTATTGTCTGTGTTGTAGTTTCTCATTATTTTATCTGTGTTCCAGAATAAGAGACTGTAATGTAGTTTATTAATGGATATGAGCTGTTTACAATGTATATTTTTTTTTTCATTAATTTAATATGCTAACAAAACAAATTATTCAAGTTACATGGGCCAAGTACGGGCCCGATCCGAGCACGGCCCGCCACGAAATGGACTTGAACTTTAAGCCGAGTTAGGTATAATATTTTAATAAATGAGTTGGGCCAGCACATCTCACTTAATTACATGGGCCAACACAATACAGCCTAAAAAACATAATGAGCCAGCCCGATTCGACTCGTTTTACACCTCTAGTCTGTACCAACTATATGCACTGGTAATTAGTTAATTGTATAGCAATCCCTACAGCTAACTAAAGGAATTTAATTCCTTAATTAATGACAGAAAATTCCTTAATCAAAGCGAGTTATTCCTAATTACAAACACACCACCCTTTGGAAATTCGATTAGATGAGCACATCATTCTCAGTCCCTCATTTGGAAATCGACCTCATCAACGTTAGTAAATTGATAGTAACTCAAATTCATAATCAATCAAGAAAATTGATATCATCAAAATCAGCTAGACATCGAAATTTAAGGACTTTCCTTAGTGTAAATTTGTGGGCTCAATCTCATGCAATATGTCCAAACCTATAAATAGGGGCAATGTGTGCAGAACCAAATCAACCACACACAGTTTCAAGTAGATTTGGTTGAGAAAGAGAGTCTTTGAGATTAATTTGAGCTAGTAGCTATGGACATGAAGGGAAGTAATTTAGCAGTTGTGGTTACGATGTTCATGATGGTTTGGGTTGCTATGGGCCAATCGGTTGACCCTAACTTTGTTGATTATTATTCGCTTGCCGATGATGTCACACCTTTTGAAAACTCTCCTCATGTCGATAAAATTCCACCTCCTCATCAAAACCCTAGACCTGTAATCCCACCCTTTGAAACTGTATCACCACCTATGATCAGAATCCCTGTTGTCCCAAAATCACCTCCTCCCACTTCTCATCATGTTCCTCCAAAACACAACCCATGTCTGAGAAAATGCCACAGAAAATGCAACGATAATGACAAGTTGATAGTTAGAAAAGCTTGTTTTGAGGCCTGCCCTGCTGAATGCAAGATTGAAGCAACAATGTCTCTCAAAAAGTGTATAATTGCCTGCGTAAAAGCCATACCCACGTATCCTACCCCTGCTATTGGTATGTATATATCTTTAGTCTTTTTTCTTGTTGGGTTTTATCTTTTTTTATAGTTTTGGATTATTGTTTATCTAATTGCAGTGTTTTATTTTTCCATTTTTATGTGACAGTTGCTGAAAATAACTTCAAGGGCCAATTGGATTTCTGCTATAAGAGGTGCAGCTCAAGAATGAAGATCAATAATTAGATATTTTTATAATTTTCATCTCCATAAGAGAAAATATTATTAATGGATTGAATAATTGTATTAGATATTACTACTCATGGAACGGTATTGAATTGAATAAGAATTCTCTCTTCGTTGAGATATTTCAGCACTTCCTTTCGTGTACTTATCCTTGTGAATGCACTCCTTTTGTCCAACTTTTCCCACAATATATTCTTGGAAAAAGTTACAAGAATTAGACCATATGACCAAATAAATTAGCCCTTAATTTGGATAACTAATCTTTTCAAATTGAAAAGAGTGGTAAGATGCAGGATCTACCACCAAAATTGGTCAATCGGCAACTTAACCTAAGTCCGGGCTACGGATTCAGGGTCTGAGTCCTGAGTTCCGATTCAAGATCTCTGGTTCAATGTCCCGAATTTGAGTTTTCACACCAAACATAACTCACAACATATGGGTTGAACTAAATCCATTGTATTGGAATTTTTGAAATAAAATATATTAATTAAAAATTGAACTTTAGACTCTAAAATCTCTTATTTTCAAATCCAACAAGAAATTGTCATCTTTGATTCCCGAACAAAGCATTTTAGGAAGATGAGTTTGTAAATTTACATTTTAGCCCCAAATCCCTCATCCAAACACAGGCCTCTTACAATTGATTATAACATGTCATTCTACAGCATTAATCCCTTTGATTAAGTATAGTTATGGAAGGTACAGATTGTACTTAACGGCTATATATGATTGAGAGTCCCTTGAATTCCAGAAGGAGAATTGATTCTAATCAACCAATTATAGTAACAAATTCAACATTTAATAAGATAAATCACTGCATTTAAATTTAATTAGAGTTATATAATAACAACAAATGAATCAAATCAACAAGTCAACGAATTCAACAAAATTATAAACTTGTGCTCAAAATTAGGACAAGCAGCACATATTGCTCTGCACACAGAAATCTCATCAAGAATGACAAGTACCATTGACAGGAGGAGGGCTTCCAAGTTCCAATCCTGTGAGAGATCTAGAGAGAGAGAGAGGGGAGGGGGAAGAGAGAGACAGAGAGAGAGAGAGTAGAGGTATGGAAATTGAAGCAAGTAGTTTAATGAGAGTTGTGGTGTTGATGATGGTTGGGGTTGTCATGGGTCGATATTTAGATCCTACCCCAGAAAACTCACCCCCTCCACCTCCCTTTGACCTTACCCTAGAAAACTCTCCCCCTCCACCTTCCTTTGAGCCTACCCTAGAAAGCTCTCCCCCTCCATCTCCCTTTGGCCCTACCCTTCAAAACTCACCCCCTCCACCTCCCTATGCTCTTGGCCTTGAAAACTCACCCCCTCCACCTCCCTATGCCCTTGGCCCTGAAAACTCACCTCCTCCACCTCCCTATGACCTTCGCCTTGAAAACTCACCCCCTCCACCTCCCTATGATCTTGGCCTTCAAAACTCACCCCCTCCACCACCTCCCTTTGGCCTTACCCTTCAAAACTCACCCCCTCCACCTCCCTATGACCTTGGCCTTCAAAACTCACCCCCTCCACCACCTCCCTTTGGCCCTACCCTTCAAAACTCACCCCCACCACCTTCCTATGACCCTGGCCTTCAAAACTCACCCCCTCCACCACCTTCCTATGACTCTGGCCTTCAAAACTCACCCCCTCCACCACCTTCCTATGACTCTGGCCTTCAAAACTCACCCCCTCCACCACCGTCTTATGACCCTGGCCTTCAAACCTCACCCCCTCCACCGCCGTCCTATGACTCTGGCCTTCAAAACTCACCCCCTCCGCCACCGTTCTATGTCCCTGTCCTTCAAAACTCACCCCCTCCGCCACCCCCCTATGCCCCTGCCCTTCAAAACTCACCCCCTCCCCCCCCTCACTAT